TATAAAGCAATTTCAAATCAATACCTGAATATAGTTGCTCTGATTTCATTAATGTAGTCTTCTCTTTCACCTTTAATTTAAAAAACTAGCTAGCAGCTATAAGAATCATAATAAAAACTTGGTAATAAATAAATCGTAAGTATATATTTGATTCAATCAATCTTTAATTCCTATACAGTAAGCATGAGCACCAAAAGGTATTACGAAAAACCTTAAAAAATAGGTCTTCAAATAATCTACTCAACAATAAAAAAACTCTTCAATTTCTAGAATTGCTAACTTGATGGAATGCCAGATTTTTACGTTTAAAATTACTCTAAAACTATAAATTAGTAAACCGCAAAAATGTAAGCCACAATCTACCATCTAGAGCAAAACAACAGACAAATAGACCCAATTAATTTCTACATTTATTTCTGTCATATATATATTCCTACATGGATTGTTGCTTTTCATCAATATTGCTTACTATTAAAATAGCACCCACAGGACCTAGACAGGTTTGGGGCTCTATTGTGCTGGGGATTTATAAACACACGGGGCATGTCTATGATTCAAGCTGGGGGTGTGATTACCAGCCTAAGGCAACATGCCTGCAAGAGCTCTGATGAAGTTAGCACACTAAAAACTGAGCGTAGGGATAGCAGCGGGAGGGGCTAGCTGCCCTGAGTACATGCCTAGAGTGTGTCTGATGGGTGTGTATTTGGGATGGATAGCCCCTTCTGCTTCACATTTCACAGGCGCTTCCTCAGTCATAACCAGAAATAATTGGAAACCATTAAAAATATATGTTTTATACAGTTTATATACATACAATAGTCCCATATTTCCATGTAGCTCTCACACCTTTGTGCAGTGCAAAAAGACTTATTACTTCATATGACCCAGGGGATTGCAGGGGGGCGGTTAAATTAACCAAAACTACTGCCTCATCCAAGGCAATCCTGGAGCCCCAACCCACTCCCATCTGGAAACCACCTTCTCCAAAACCCCCGCACTCTCCCTAGAGCTCGCCAAACACCTACCTTTTATCAGAGAGAGAAAAAAAATATGTTATACGGGATAGAAACCCTCACTCTTCAGAGCATAAGCCTGACCAAGCTGAGAGAACAATGAGGAGTCCGGTGGCACCTTGAAGACTAATAGATTTATTTGGGCATAAGCTTTTGTGGATAAAAAAAACCCACTTCTTCAGGCAGCGAGAGAGAGAAACTCTTAGAGGGCGCTTATTCCATAATTGCCCACTATGGGGATTGCTTCTTGCACCTCTCTCCAAAGCATCTGATACCAGCCACTGCCAGAGACAGGATACTGGACTAGATGGACATTGGGTTTGTTTCGGTCTGGGAATTCCTGGGGTCTCAAGGGCCCCACTTCAACCCCACACACAAAAAAATACAACCCACCTGATCTCCTTCCCCCACATATCTCCCCGCAACCCCAAACAACCCAGCCCCCCTCCCCACCCGCTAGCACCCCCAGCATAACCCACCCCAGCCCCCTCTGAAAACGCCTAAGGGCCACTCCCCTCTCGGACCCCGCCCCATCTACTGCTGACCTCCCACACCCCAAACGCCCCGTGGGCAGCCCCTTCTCCCTGCGGCCCCCACCCCAGGCTCCTGTCCCGGCAGCCCCAGGCGGTACCTGGAATCGAACTTGCTGCCGTCGGGGAAGGTGCCGAGATAGTGGTAGCGCACGAAGTCCCCGCTGCGCACCGTGCGCGCGCACTGCTCCGGCACGAAGCTGCGCTCGATGTGCACATCCTGCCCGTCCCAGGGCTGTTCCCCGGCCGGCACCGGCGGAGCCTGGCACGCCACCCAGCTCACCAGCAGGGCGGGCAGCAGCAGCGAGCAGCAGCGGCGCCGCCTCGGCAGCATCCCCAAGCCCGCCATGCAGCAAGAGGGGAGAGAAGGGAGGACGGAGAGTGTGTGTGTGGGGGGTGAATCCGAGGGGCCCTGCGAGCGATTCCCGGCCTCCAAGCGCCGTGCGGCCTCTCCTACGGCTGCTGTAAAATTTGCAAACGTGGTGGATGAAAAAAAAAAAATCCCAGCCTCCTACCTCCAAGAGGGAGGAGACAGCAGCCGAGGGGGGGCTGAGGGGGGTGCCCGGGCGGGGTGGTCGGTGCACCGCTGTTGTTGCTACTGGGTAGCTGGGTTCTGTTCTAGGCGCTACGCTCCCGTCCAAGTTCTTTTTGTTACATGTGGTTCCTAAGTTTCGCTGCTCTCCTGGAAACAGGCCAGAATCCAGGCCTCAAAGTCCAGGGGGAAAGGGAGGGAGGGAGAAGAGGCATCACAGCACATCCCCAGAACCCTTCACAAGGAAAGGCTGGGTGCACATGGTGCTACGTGGCGTTGATTCTGAGTTCAGTGGAGTGTTGCTCTCCCCACCTCATGTGCCTTTGCTTCTTTCAGGCTTTAGATCAAGGGTTTGGTTTGGTTTGGTTTAATTCCTCTAACGTACACTTTTAACTACTATGTTGAACAAGTGATCACAACCTTCATTTGTCTCCATTTCTTTACAAATGTATTCATGCATATTTAGTTCTTGCATCATTAAAAAAACAGGTTTCAGAGTAACAGCCCTGTTAGTCTGTATTCACAAAAAGAAAAGGAGCACTTGTGGCACCTTAGAGACTAACCAATTAGTCTCTAAGGTGCCACAAGTACTCCTTTTCTTAAAAAAACAAAAATTATTAAATAATATTTTCACTTAAACTGACCCCCAAAAGTAAACTGCAATATTTTTCATAGTAACTTACCGCTTGAATACTGCTTTTCAACTTCAGATTCCATTGCAAACACTAGCTAATCCTTGGAACATTCCTTTGGGCTCGGTAAATGTTACAGTCCCCAGTGTTTTAAACAGCTGTGGAGATTGAGGTAGAGAGATTAAATGATTTGACAAAGGGCACAGCAGTATGTGTCAAAGCTGGAATCAGAATTAAGGCCAGATATAAGAACATAACAGACATACTGGGTCAGACCAAAGATCCACCTAGCCCAGTATCCTGTCTTCCAATAGTGGCCAATGCCAGGTGTCACCCATTTCCAGCATCTGGCAAACAGAGGCTAGGGACACCATCCCTGCCCATCCTGGCTAATAGCCATTGATGAACCTATCTTCCATTAATTTATCTAGTTCTTTCTTTAACCCTGTTATTGTCCTGGCCTTCACAACATCCTCTGGCAAAGAGTTCCACAGGCATTGTGCATTGTGTGAAGAAATACTTCCTTTTGTTTGTTTTAAACCTGCTGCCTATTAATTTCATTTGGTGACCCCTAGTTCTTGTGTTATGAGAAGGAGTAAACACTTGCTTATTTACTTTACAGTCTGATTCTGCAAACACTTATGCACATGCTTAACTTTATGCATTGTTGGTAGTCAATGGAATGACTCATATTGGTAAAGTTGAACATGTTCATTTGTGTTTGCAGAATTGGGGCCTTTGTCTGCAGAAAACGTTGGTAGACCTATTATTCCACACACACACACAAAGAGAAAGCAAGGCAGATAATCCCTTTTACTTGACTAACCATCAATTTCTAACATGAGCTTTCTGGCTAGAATAGGTACCTACTTGAGGTACAGTATCACTTTGCAATGCTACTTATTAGGTAAAAAGAAAAGGAGTACTTGTGGCACCTTAGAGACTAACCAGTTTATTTGAGCATAAGCTTTTGTGAGCTACAGCTCACTTTATTTGGTGTTCACTGATCATACGTTTCATTATTGATCGTTACGGTAGAACCAAGGCCTAGTCCTGCAACTTAAACTTGTGCCAAAGCAGAGACCCATGCAAATCAGTGGGGCTTGGTGCACAGGCAGAAGACTGTCCATGTGCATTGTAAATTGTAGAATCAGGGTCTATGGGCCCAAATCCTCATTCTTTGTGCACCCAAAACTCCCACTGACTCCACTGTAAGGTCAATTTTCCAATTCACCATTTTGTTTTGCCTGAGTTGTAGTTTGCCCTCCATATTGTTACCCCTTCTTGTTTGCCACTTGGCGCCCTTTCTGTTCAAGATGGGAACAGTGTCATGTGATCAGTGTTTTCAAAGTTTGGGTCGCGACCTACTACTGGGTCATGGCATGTAAGGCCCTGGGTCAGCTTTCTCAGCACCCAGGGATCCTAGCAGCTCTGGTCAGCACTGCCAACCGTGATGTTGAAAGTCCCGTTGACGGTGCTGCCCAGCTAAGGCAGGCTAATGCCTACCTGCTCCGACACTGTGCTGTGTCCTGGAAGTGGCCAGCAGTGGGTCTGGCTTCTCGGCGGGGGGGCCACAGGGCTCCACACTCCCATTGGCCAGTTCCCAGCCAATGGGAGCTGGGGGGGGAGGGGCAATGCCTGCAGGTGAGAGCTGCACAGAGTTGCTTGTACGCCTCCGCCTAGGAGCTGGACCTGCTGCTGGCCATTTCACGGGCGCAGCGCAGTCCACAATGCCAGGACAGGCAGGAAGCCTGCCTCTGCACCTTGGCTGCACTGCTGACCGGGAGCTGCTGGAGGTAAGTCTGCACCCCAACCCTGTGCCCCAATCCCCTGCCCCAGCCCTGATCCCCCCCAAAACCTGGAACCCCTTCCTGCACCCCAAACCCCTCATTCCTAACCCCCCCAGTGCCTACACCCCCAGCCCAGAGCCCTGACCCCCTCCCGCACTCCAACCCATGCCCCAGCCCTGAGCCTCCCTCAAACCCAGAGCCCCTCTTGCACCCCAAACTTCTCATCCCCGGCCCCACCCCAGAGCCTGCAACCCCATCCCAGAGCCCTGACCCCCTTCCGCACCCCAACCCCCAGCCCAGAGCCCCTTCTCACACTCTGAACACCTCATTCATGGCCCCACCCCACAGCCCTCAACTCAATCCTCTGCCCCAGCTCTGAGCCCCTTCCACACCCCAGACCCCTCATCCCCAGCTCCATTGGGTTGCAGCCATCAACAATTTTCTTCAACTGGGTCCCCAGAAAAAAAAAATGGAAAACTACTGATCTATGTAATCTGCCCAGAGATAAGACTCTATATAAGGATTGTGCGCACAGGGCTGTCCGCCCCAGTGGCAGCCCAGTGCCTATTATGTCCTAGAAGACTATGAGTCAATAAAAGAAGATCTGTTTACCCATTGTTCCTGATCCCGTCGTGTTGTCGTTCCTGGTCTCATGCGTTGTTCCTGTGTACCTGTCTCCTGGCGTTCCCTGTGGTTTTGTCGTGCTCCCAAACCTGTGTGTAGTCCTTGTTCCGTAGGAGCATCAGATATGGTGATGTATTGATCGTCCTGATTTATTTTTATACCTACCTGTGTTATTTTGAGATCGTTGGCTTCAAGCCAATCTGTGGGGTTAACAGCTGAGTGCTTTTGTTATATGTTTATACTTGTTTGTTGTTGGTTGTGGGGTTCTGTTTAATAAATACCTGTTTGTACTTTATACCTACCTTCTTAGTATTCTTGAAGTGTTGATCACCCCTGGTGACAGATACGGGAGGGCGAATGGATCTGTAGTGTGTATGTGTGTGGAGGGGGGCGTTGTGGTTAAATCCTTATCTCCTTTTAGTAATTCCCTGTACTGGGTTAACACCATCATTTCAGCTACAGTAGTGAAACAAACATTAAATGCTTTAAAGATACTGCACAACTGTACAACATTTTTGAGGGTATTGACATAGTGCTCGGAAACAAGAGCTGCCAATCAATCAAACCTGAGAAATTGTCCTCGACTGAAGTGTCAATAGAGGAGATTTTGAAATAAATTGCTAAATTAAACAGAGTAAGTCCCCAAAACCAAATGGTATTCACGCAAGAATTCTGAAAAATCTCAAATATGAAATTGCAGAACTACTAACTATGCTATGTATCACTTAAATCAGCTTCAGTACCAGATGACTGGAGGATAGCTAATTTAACGCTGATTTTTTTAAAAAGGCTCCAGAGGCAATCCTGGCAATCACAGGCCAGTAAGCCTAACTTCAGTATCAGGAAAATTGGTTAAAACTATAATACAGAACAGAATTATCAGACACATAGATGAACACCATTCGTTGGGGAAGAGTCAACATAGCTTTTGTAAAGAGAAATCATGCCTCACCAATCTATTAGAATTCTTTAAGGGGGTCAACAACCATGTGGACAAGGATGATCCAGTGGTTATAGTGTACGTGGACTTTCAGAAAGCCTTTGACAAGGTCCCTCACCAAACTAAGCAGTCCTGGAATAAGAGGGAAGGTCCTCTCCTGGATCAGTAACTGGTTAAAAGACAAGAAACAAAGGGTAGGAATAAATGGTCAGTTTTCACAATGGAGAAAGATAACTAGCGGGGTCTTCTCAGGATCTGTACTGGGACCAGTGCTGTTCAACATATTCATAAATGATCTGGAAAAAGGAGTAAACAGTGAGGAGGCAAAGTTTGCAGACAATAACAAATTACTCAAGATAGTTAAGTCCAAAGCAGACTATGAAGGGTTACAAAGGGACCTCACAAAACTGGGTTGACGGGTCAACTAAATGGCAGATGAAATTAAAAGTTGATAAATGCAGAAGTAATGCACATTGGAAAATGTAATCCCAACTATCCATACAAAATGATGGGGTCTAAACTAGTTATCACTCAAGAAAGAGATCTTGGAGTCACTGTGGATAGTTCTCTGAAAACATCTGTTCAATGTGCAGTGGCAGTCAAAAAAAGCTTACAACACTGGGAACCATGAGATAATAAGACAGTAAATATAATAATGCCACTATATAAATCCATGGTACGTACAGTTCTGGAAAACTGTGCAGTTCTGGTCACTCCGTCTCAAAAAAGATGTATCAGAATTGGAAAAGGCAAAGAGAAGGGAAAACATGACTGGAGTATGGAACAGCTTCCATATGAGGAGAGATTAAAAAGACTGGGACTGGTCAGCTTGGAAAAGAGATGATTAAAGGGGGATATGATAGAGATCCATACAGTCATGAATGGTGTAGAAAGTGAATAAGGAAGTGTTATTTACCCCTTGTGACAGGGCGGGACTCACCACCTTGGCACCTCCTGCTGGCCGTGCTGGGAATTAGCTCTTGGTTGCCGGTGCGCCTTCCTCTAGTGGTATCTCACCGCCGTCACTTCTGCTCCACCTCTAAGACCCGCGTCACTCCCTGGACCGTGGCGTTCTCTTCTGGTGTTGGATCATATTAAAGAAGTTCTGTATTAAAATCACAAATGAGTTTGATTCCCCATAGTTTAAATTCCAGGGTATCACTAATTAAGAGGTCTCTTGATCTCTTATTTTTACTGTTTCTCTCCCTCTCCGTGTGAAACTTGCAAGCTGCTAATTGTGTTAGTACATCCTAAAACAGAGTCTGTTCTCAAAGCAATACTTTGTAACAACTAGTCACACACAGAGACTCAAAGCGATACTTTGTAACAACAGCAACAACACACAGAGACTCCCCGCCCTTTTGTTGTATTTATCTCACTTTGTTAACATTTGTGATTAAAATAGAGATAGAGGATGTATGTGGATGGATGCTTGGTGTGGATAATAACTGAATGATCAGGGAGGTGCCAGCCTAAGAATCCCGTGTCCATCAGCTGAAGAAGGCGTTGTGTGGAAACAACCAGAGGACCCCTGGAGGGCAGACTGGAATCCACCCAACAGCCTCAAGGATGGGAGAACCAAAGAACAAGATAACATCTGGCAGCACGGAGCCATCAGGAATGTGCCATCTGCTGATTGATTCAGCAACAGCATGATGAGTCAATTCCCATAGACTGGCATAGGAATAAATTCCTATAAAAATGAACTCTAGAAAGTGAGAACTTTGGGGTCTGATTCTGCAAACCAACTTCCAGGAGCATCAGATGAGCATCTGACAAGGCCCTGCTCCCTCCTCATGTCCAGGCCACCTGGCCAGTGGCTCAGCATAAGCAACTCTAAGGCTGGTAACTATGATAACAATCTTGCAGAACCTCTGTGTGTGTGTGTATGAAAGAATGTGTGAATAAATATGAAATTGAATGGAATGTTATAGCCATAACTAACTGTTTACTATGATTCTTTCTGTATTCACAATAAATGTGGCATTTTGCCTTTTCCCCTTTAATAAGATCCTGCTGGTTTTTATTTTATTGGTATAACACTGGGCACACACCTCCGGCTGTGCCCCACTCCACTTTCTCCCCCCATTGGGGGAACTAGCGGTCCATCCACTTGTCACTATGGCCTACTGCAGCCTTCGGTCTAGCCCCACACCTCAAGGTATAAACTGCAGTCCGAATACTGGTCACCTGTGGCAAGTGGGGGGAAAGGAAGCTACTCTGGGTCCCAAACCAAGGACCCTATAGCCAGCAGCCACGTACTGCCACTCCTCCAACTCCTACCACCTATATCCCTTGGCCACTTCCCTGTAGCCCTAGCACCTTCCCAGCCCTTTGTATCAGGGGCCTCAGTCTAGCAATCCTCAGGCTGGAGCTCCCTATTGCTCCCCTGACCCTACCCAGCACGGCTCTACCTAAGGTACTCCTCTAAGGCAGCCAGTCCTTCTATCTTGCACTCCAGGGAGAGACTGACTGTTCTGTTGAGCAGCCCTTCTTATAGGGCCCTCCCTGGCCCTGACTGGCTCCAACAAATCTTCTCCTGATTGGCTCTCTACAAGCCCTACTCCCACTGGTTGGGTTTTGCACAGCCTCCCTGAGGACTGCTTTAACCATCCATCTACCTGTGTGGGGCAGCTGCCCCATCACACCCCTTCACAAAAACCAGGGGTCAACCAATGAAATGAATAAGCAGCAGGTTTAAAACAAAAGGAAGTACTTCTTCACGCAACGCACAGTCAACCTGTTGAACTCTTTGCCAGGGGATGTTGTGAAGGCCAAAATTATAACTGGGTTCAAAAAAGAATTATAAAAGTTCATGGTCAGGAACCCAACCCCATTCACTGGATGTCCCTGAGCCACTGACTGCCAGGTGCTGGGATTGACACTCTCTGTTTTATTTATTCCCTCTGAAGCACCTGCCATTGGATACTGTCAAAGGACAGGATAATGAGCTAGATACACCATTGGTCTGACCAGTATGGCCGTTGTTAGGGTCTAATCGATAAAGAGCAGGGGGCAGCTGTTTGAAGATTGCCATATTTGTGGTCACAAATCACAACCTGCTTGCAACAACAATCCCATCCAGTGTGTGGTATCAACCTCACCAGCAACACCACCACATCTCACTGGCAGATTGCTGAAGTCGCAAACCAAACTCAGCAACCAAGAATGGGACCAATCACAAAGCATAAAATCAGGATTACAAAATATGACAATCATCATCAATTAAAAATCCTTTACAAAAAGAGATGATCTATTAAGATAAGGAAAAATACCAAAGAAAGAGAAAATATGCATCAGATATTATTTGTTGTGCAGTAGCACCCAAAGGGGGTAATCAGGTTGTAGACCCTATTGTGCTAGCAGTGGTGAAGTCAAAAGGAGCTGCATACCCACAAATCTTGGCCATTGTATTTTTTTTAATTAGAATTTTTGTCCCTCCTTTGGCCCAGATACTCAAAGGTGTTTAAGCTCTTAATTTCCAACAGAAACACACTTGCAGTGGAAATTAGGATCCTAAATGCCTTTCAGCATCAGGGCCTTAGTATTTGCTTCACACCTGCTCAATTCTGTGCCTATCTTTTTTTCTTCCACTCTCTTCATAACGGAATGCAATAATCTTTAACTTTGAATTGAACGTTTGAAGCCATGATGTTCAAGTTAGTTAGACATTAGGCAAAAGGATTATTGCACACTCATCACTATTTAGTAGTGCCTGGGAATATTCAATAAAAAAAAGTCTCCAGTCCTCTCTCTTCTGATTTTGGGTGATTTAAAATTCTGTATTTACTCCATCTCTAGAGCCCTGCGTGGATACAAAATTTGTATCCACAGCCAATCCATAAAAATAATCCGCAGACATAAAGAGGATATCTGCAGATTTGCAGGGTTCTAGATACAAAATTTGTATCTGCATCTGATCCATGATCTACAAAAATGGTCCATGGATATTCAGGGATCTGCAGGGCTCTATCCATCTCATCTTTCCAGTAGACACTGAATGAGGTTAAACTGTTGGGATATTTCTTATGCCAGACATCCAGTATGTTACATAATATGGCTGATTCACTCTAAGGCTCGGTCTATATTTAAAATTTATACCGTTGGTGAGGTAGACAAGGCCTAAGACCCAGGTTCTGTTCACTGCAGCAGATAGGAAGGTGGACAGGAAAATGGTTACTGCTCCCAGATTCTCAGGGAGGGTCTGTGCAATGGTGTACATTAAGGAAGCCTGGAAACTGCTGTAACTTACACTAGCTGGCATTGGTCCCTACAGGACAATGTGTCAGCTAAGCATAGTCAGCAACATGCTTCAACCATGGCCCAACGCAATTCCTCCCCACATCTGGCATGCCCTGTGCTAAGGCCAAATAGAGGGAGTGGCATCTCCCTACATCAATGGATTTCTCAGCTGGACAGATCTGGCTGCTTTCTGACACCTCAGTGCTGCTCAGGCAGCATAAAGGGACTAGACCAGAATAGAAAGTGTCAAGTATCTTTGTAAGGGAAATTATTCTTACCCATTTAACTAGTTTCTCAAAGGGAAAACATTTAGAAACCCCTACTTATATGCTGGTTAGGAAGAACAAATGCATTGCAAATTAACTGGCTTTCCTGCCACTATTCTGGGTAATGCCTTCCATATTCTTCACCAACCTGAAAACCACAATGATGACTAATTTCCTTTGGGCAGGAAGGTGAGCACAGACCTGCCCTGAAGTTACTACAGAAACCTGTCCTAACGGGAGGATTGTCATTCCCAGACTTCAAAACACCGCACAGCTAGAGGGCATTCTCTACTGGAGAACTGTCTTTCAGGAATGCCAGTGGATAGACATGGAATGAGGAGTAAGAGGGGTAGAAGAATTAAAGCTGTTACATGAAAAGAACGCCCAAAAACATGCGGAAATTCCATCACATCCCAGCCACGGTTTTGCATTCCATGTAAAGCTCAAGCTAACCTAAGCCCATCCACCATGATATGGCACATCCACCATGATATGGTTTTGATTTTCAAATATAATAGGCAGGGGACCAAAAAGGAGCTCAAAGGGCTGATACACTGCCCCTGATTGTTTTGAGAGGCAAGCATTCTCTCCTTGGAACAGGTAAGAAAGAAAGTAAAACAGACAAATAATTTACCCTTCTCATAGTTACAGATGTTTTGTTACTCAATCCACTGTCACAAATTATGTACCAGAGAGCAGTGTTACCATTTGAGTTCACAGGAGATTTTCAAAAGGGCACATGGCAAGAAGTTAAGACAGCTAACTGACATTTGCTCCTCTGAAAATCTCTCCAGATGCTACTTACACAAACTGAGTTTGGAAACCTTCAGGGAAACTACAGATGGTGTTGTGTTGTGTTGATGAATCTTCTCAGCATGAAGAATCATTTATGCTAGCATGGGAAAGGGAACTAAATGCCCAACTTGAGTCTGAAGTATGAAAAGATATCATTCTTGTGTTACTTGAGATCATGTTCTGTGTTTTTGAATATGCTTGAAATGAACTACAAGACTATAATAAGATGGTAACCCTAGTGTAAATGAAAATGCCTGTAACGCATCACATGGATAAGTATAGGAGAGTTTGACACCAGCAAGATGGGGGATGAATCTATGAGATATTCTGCTGCATAGCATGTGGATTTGTCCAGCATTCAACCACCAGTGGTTCTTAATAACCCATCATATAGCAAAGATTGCAAGACTGGCAATTCCCCTGATTCCTGAAGTTTGTGTGCAGTGTATGCTATGTGGGTAATGTGGCGGAGACAGTAAAACACTGGCTGAACTTTTAATGTCTTTAGAATGCTCTGTAATCTACAGACCTGGCAGAACATAAGCAGTCCTTTGTTCTTAGAAAAGATATGTCAAGCTTGGCATGCTACATATAAGTATAAACTGTGACAGGCAAATTTAGATAAGGAATTCCTACGTAAAAGGTATAACAGATATTTGTGAGGTACATAAAAAAAAAAAAGAGAGAGCAATGAGAAACATGACTTCCTTTGAACTGATATAAATGCCAGATGAAAAATCTGTAAGTATCCTAAACACCCAATGTAATGTGCAGAAAGATGATATTTGTGATAATCTTTGGCAAATAAATGACTTGTGGGAAGAGACTCAAATTATTTGTCTCCTGCACAGATCTCAAATACTACTCATCTTTAAAACTCTTCTTGCTTTTTTTCTACAGGCACTCTGAGGAACAGTTCTTAGTTTATGTTTCTGTCAGTTCTGAACTGAATTTAAAGGGGAAAGGAAAGAAAAAAATTATACTCAACATTAATTTCTTTCTTTAGAATGTTTGTAAAGTACTTTGCGATTTTCTGATTAAAGGAGCTATAGAGGTGCAAAGTACTAATAGTGATTTTAAGTATTAAATATGATTTTATGATCATTTATTGGATAGAAATTCCAATGTGAAACCAAACATCAGGCTTACAGTGTAAGCTCTTTGAGCACGGACCATGCTTTCTTTTGTGTTTACACTGCATCTAGCCCTAGCAGATAGTGGGCATTATTGCAAACTAACAAATAATACTGTACTAGTAGGTCAGCTGATTACTCACTAGGCTAAATTATCTTCTAGTTTCACCGGAGCAAACATCCTTCTCCTTTTTTCACTTTTGTGAAAACTTGACTCACATTAGGTCAAACTGTGGCATTTGACTACTGACACGCATTACAGCCGCTGTGCTGATGGTGGTACAATTCCTTCCCAAATAGCCTAGTGCAGTGATTATCAACCTATTTACCATTGTGGGCCACATATGCAGCTCCCTATGTATTATGTGGGCCGCATCCACACAATATGTGTACTACCTATATGTCCCTGAGGATGTCACATTGGCCGTAGCTGTGTGCTGATTGGGCCGCAAGCAGCTTGCAGGCCACGGGTTGAGAACCACTGGCCTAGTGCATGAGGGAACCATGCAAGCTTTTCCATCAGTGTCTGCTCCCCCAAGTACAACCAACTTTTTCCATGGATGGAAGCTACGGGCCCTCCTTTTCCCCAGGGGTGCTGGATCAACTTGTATAGTGAGGGTGCTGAAAGCCATTGAACCAAACTAAACCCTGAATATGATGAAAACAACTTCAAGCCAAGGGGTGCAGCAGCACCCCTAGTTCCACCTCCTATGCTCTTCTCTGACTCCTCTGAAAGTTAGTCTACATCTGACTCGCTTCACCGATGCAGCTGCACTGCTGTAGCACATCTGTGAAGATGCTCTAAGCCAACGGGAGAGCGTTCTCCATTTGGCATAATAAATCACCTCTGCGAGAGGCAGTAGCTATGTCCATGGAAAAAGCTCTCCCATCAACATAGCGCTGTTCACACCAGTGCTTAGGTTGGTGTAACCTATGTCGCTTGGGGTGGGAGTGGCTTATTCACACCCTTGAGTGACGTAAGTTATACCAAAGTAAGTGGTACTGTAGACCTGGCCTGAGATTCTGTCTGTTCCCAAGGGGGATCAGTGAGGAGAGTCAAATCACTTCTTGGAATGCAAGAATAATAACTGTAAGTGAATCTTTCACAGGCATGTGGGGAGGGAGGACTCTTTGCAAACATTCTTCTCCCCCTCTGAGCTTTCATACAAACATCATTCACAATCTGGCCCACTGTGTATAAATTTATTATAAAATAATGCTAAACAATATCTTGGCATCACTGGAGTCATCTATCAGGGCTAGTGAGCATTAAGCATTTAAGGTATGAAAGTTTTTGCCTGCATAATTTGTTATTACAAATTATTTAAAATTTTCAGTCGTCATTGCAGATCCTGATATTACATACATATACAGCAAGTCTTGTGACCGATTTGTACTGGGGATTGCTGTTTAATCCTCCCAAACTGTCATATTCAGGAAACAAAAGCATAGGATCTTCTGAGTGTTTCTGTATTTCTGCTTGCTCAGCAAAGCAGTGTTTATCTATAGAGCAGCTTCCTTACAAAGGATGAACAACAGCTTTAGGGTCAGATTTTCTGTGTGTGCTTAAAGTTAGACTCCTGTTGGGTTTCAGCATAAAAGTGGCCTGATTTTTAGAGGTGCTCAGCACTTGCAGCTCGCACCAGTGCCACGTGAGAACTACACCAGCTGAATTACTTTACTGGCTTGGGACCAGAGTGTATCAGAGCCATGTTGTGGGGAAAGCCAAATCAAAAACTCCTTATGCCCTTCCCTGATTTGAGAGGTGAGCAAGTGTCAGCTATAACCCAGTTCTGTTTGTAAAGTGCATTGGAATCCTTTAGGGTGAAAGATACTATGGAACTGACAGATATTATGTTATTGATGTTCATGTGAGAGGAATCACAAATAAACATTCTAAGGCAGGGGTGGGCAAAGTACAGCCCACGGGCCACATCCAGCCCTTCAGACATTTTAATCTGGTCCTCTCACCCCCGCCAGGGAGCAGGGTCAGGGGTTTGCCCTGCTCAAGCGCTCCAGCCGGGGAGCAGGGTCTGGGGCTTGCCACACAGCTCCCAGAAGCAGCGGCATGTCCCCGCTCCAGCTCTACTTGTAGGGGCAGCCAGGGGGCTCTCCGCGCGCCACTCCCCCCCAAGCGCCGCCCCCTGCAGCTCCCACTGGCCAGGAACCGTAGCCAATAGGAGCTGCAGGGGCGGTGCCTGCAGATGGGGCAGTGCACAGAGCCACATGGCCGGGGCCACACCTCTGTGTAGGAGCCGTAGGCAGGCATGCTGCTGCTTCTGGCAGCTGCGGTGGTGGCGCCTGCAGATGGGGCATCATGCAGAGCTGCATGGCCGCGCCTCCACGTGGAGCCGGTGGAGGAAATTGCCACTGCTTCTAGGAGGTAAGCACTGCTTGGAGCCTGCACCTCCAGCCAGAGCCCTCAACCCCCACTGCGCCCCAGCCCCTCCCGTCCTCTGAACCCCTCGGTCCCAGCTCAGAGCACCTCCTGCACCCCAAATCCCTCATCCCCACCCCAGAGCCCACACACCCAGCTAGAGCCCTAACACCCCCTCACTCCCTCCCAGCCTGAACTCGTCATTTCTGGCCGCACCCCCAGTTGGAGCCCTCACCTTACCCTACCCCACCTCACCTCACCCTCCCTCACCCTAACCCCCAATTTTGTGAACATTCATGGCCCGCCATACAATTTTTATACCCAGATGTGGCCCTCAGGCCAAAAACTTTGCCCACCCTCAGCAAGTTTGCAGATGACACTAAACTGGGAGGAGAGGTAGATACGCTGGAGGGTAGGGATAGGATACAGAGGGACCTAGACAAATTAGAGGATTAGGCCAAAAGAAATCTGATGAGGTTCAACAAGAACAAGTGCAGAGTCCTGCACTAAGGACGGAAGAATCCCATGCACCGCTACAGACTAGGGACCAAATGGCTCGGCAGCAATTCTGCAGAAAAGGACCTAGGGGTTACAGTAGACGAAAAGCTAGATATGAGTCAACAGTGTGCCCTTGTTGCCAAGAAGGCTGTCATAAATATAAAAGGAAGGGTAACCACCTTTCTGTATACAGTGCTATAAAATCCCTCCTGGCCAGAGGCAACATCCTGTTACCTGTAAAGGGTTAAGAAGCTCAGCTAACCTGGCTGGCACCTGACCCAAAGGACCAATAAGGGGACAAGATACTTTCAAAACTTGGGGGAGGCTTTTGTTTGTGCTCTTTGTTTACGCAATTGTTCTCTCTTGGGACTGAGAGAGGCCAGACAGAAATCCATCTTCTCCAACCCATCCTAAACCATTTTCCATCCTGATTTTACAGAGATGATTTTTACCTTTCTTTTTTTTTCTTTTTTTTTCTTAAAAGAAGGATTTTATTAAAAAAAAAAGAAAGGTAAAAATCATCTCTGTAAAATCAGGATGGAAAATGCTTTACAGGGTATTCAGATTCAGAACACAGAGGATCCCCCTCTGTGCAAAACCTTAAAGTTACAGAAAACAGGAATAAACCTCCCTCTTAACACAGGGAAAATTCACATAAAACAAAAGATAAACTAATGCGCCTTGCCTGGCTTACCTATACTGGTTGCAATATTGGAGACTTGGATTGGGATGGGTTGGAGAAGATGGATTTCTGTCTGGCCTCTCTCAGTCCCAAGAGAGAACAACTACATAAACAAAGAGCACGAACAAAAGCCTCCCCCCCACCCTCCCAAGATTTGAAAGTATCTTGTCCCCTTATTGGTCCTTTGGGTCTGGTGCCAGCCAGGTTAGCTGAGCTTCTTAACCCTTTACAGGTAACAGGATGTTGCCTCTGGCCAGGAGGGATTTTATAGCACTGTATACAGAAAGGTGGTTACCCTTCCCTTTATATTTATGACAAAGGTCAATGGCATTTTGGGCTGTATAAGTAGGGGCATTGCCAGCAGATCGAGGGACGTGATCGTTCCACTCTATTCGACATTCGTGAGGCCTCATCTGGAGTACAGTGTCCAGTTTTGGGCGCCGCACTATAAGAAGGATGTGGAAAAATTGGAAAGAGTCCAGCGGAGGGCAACAAAAATGATTAGGGGACTGGAACACATGACTTATGAGGAGAGGTTGAGGGAACTGGGATTGTTTAGTCTGCGGAAGAGAAGAATGAGGGGAGATTTGATAGGTGCTTTCAACTACCTGAAAAGGGGTTCCCAAGAGGATGGATCTAGACTGTTCTCAGTGGTAGCAGATGACAGAACGAGGAGTAGTGGTCTCAAGTTGCAGTGGGAGAGGTTTAGGTTGGATATTAGGAAAAACTTTTTCACTAGGAGGGTGGTGAAGCACTGGGATGGGTTACCTAGGGAGGTGGTGGAATCTCCTTCCTTTGAAGTTTTTAAGGTCAGGCTTGACAAAGCCCTAGCTGGGATGATTTAGTTGGGGATTGGTCCTGCTTTGAGCAGGGGGTTGGACTAGATGACCTCCTGAGGTCCCTTCCGACCCTAATATTCTATGATTCTAAGCTGTAGTTCATGATGAAATTGTCAAATGGCAAATAAAAGCAAATGGCTTTCAGCCTTCCCTTGAGATATGTTCTCTATATGCACTTTGTGTAAAAAAAAATTTCAACACCAATGACATATGTGTTCCTTACTTAATCATAAGACTTCCTGGTCAACTCAGTAACAGATTTGCTTTTGTCAGTGAAGAAGTTTCTTCATCACCTTGCTCTGCGGCTCTCGACATTCAGAATTTTCTTCCTGTAAGACAGAAAGAAAAAGAGAACAACAGAACTGTGAGTTTCAGTGTATTTGTTTTTCACTACATTGGAAACAGCTGCTGTAACCTGACCTATTGCAAGTACATTAACGTAATGCTTAAGAGGTGTTAGGTTTGGACAGTGTCCCTTAAAGAGGGAGCTGGGTGAATTGACTCATGCCTGGTCAACTGAACCCCAGTTGGGGAGGGACAGCATGATATTTACAAGAGGTGGTTTTTACCATCCTCAGAAAAACTAGTTAATCCCAGTTTAAGACATTTTCTATTTTAAAAACTGTTTTATTAATGCATGCCACATTACACTTAGTTTTAGTTACATATTTAAATTATGGTTACATAAGGCAGGAGAGTTGTATATTAATTTGGGTTGTACAAATAAAAAGTAAAACTGAGGTGGGCATAATACTAATACATAATACTGAACATCAAAATGTCTGTCTACATTTTGGTTTGGTATTTTCTCAATGGAAGTTATATATGTCATGACAGGTTTCAGTTTTCATTATAATATAAATAAAAGTTGAAACCATTTGATTATATAAAAAAAACAACAACAAGGCAGAGTTGTAGGCTTGAAGCGCTGACCAATCAGAAGCGTGCAGAGTTGCAGACTACAGTCCAGGTCCATTTGGCCATGCAACGTTCTGTAGCAAAATACCAACTTGGATGTTGTGGATAGACTCAGCCTATTCCTCAGTTTTGAATGGACTGATCCAAAGTTTGAAGAGATTCGTTCTATGCTTGCTGAATTTACTGGACACTGATGCAATTATTTTTCCCAGTTTCCTGGTTTAAAACAGATGTCCTAAACTAGTTTTTCTTGAGACATTGCCAACCCTGCAGTTGGGCTATAAGAGAAGGGAAGCCTGGGTGACTCAGGCCAGAGAATCAGTCAGGAAAGGGGCAAAGAGAGCAGACATGGCCCAGGGAATAGGGAGACAGGTCAGAAGCAAGAAGTTCCTGAGTGCCAGAGTCCCCTGGGAAAATCTCAATTGCCTGCTGAGAGAGATCCAGTGAGTCAGAGCCTAGGAGCCACAAGAAATCATGACCAGCAGGAAGTCCTCTGGGAGGGACTGGCAATGAGAACTAGAGGTCTAATTCTAATTCCTGAGCTGCACCCAAATCTAACCCAACCTGAGCACAGTTAACCTGTCCTGACCCAAGCATGTTGAGTCACTTCAGACCCAACCCAAACCCAACACTTACCCCTGAACCTGTGTCAGTGCTGCTTCCTCATCCTTGGGGCTTGGCCTGTCAGGGACTTCCCATGCTCCATGCCCATGGGCCATCTCTGGCTGCCTCCTTCTCCAGGAGGTCAGCGCAGTGGCAGCTACATGACCTGTTCCTGCCGGCCACCCCACCGCATTGTGTGTGCTGCAGAGTGAGAGGCGATGTAACTCACCAGCACACTCACTTCACAGTGCACACACAGGACCAAGGTAGTGGTGGCCAGCAGGAGCGAGACACACAGCTGCCCCTATGATGATGCCAGAACAAGAGGTGGTGATCAGAGCTGAGTCTGCGTTGTTGTCAGACCTGATCCAAACCCAACACTAGTAGTCGGGTCCTGTTGGGTTGCAAGGTTCCAGTGGGAACATGCTGGAGGAAAAGGGGCCTTCAGGGAGTGAAGACCTAGCATCCAGGGCTTTGTGACCAGAGCACAGAACATTCCTGCAGGAAGCCATGAAGAACAAAGGACTGAGGGGTAAAGAAGAAATCCCCTGGGAGCTGTAGCGTAGGGTGGACTGAGGAACTGGCTTTGGTAACTTTGCCAGTCTAGGGAAAACAGAACTTCCTGGAAAGGTGTGGCAGTGAGTCCTTTGTGAGCGAGGAAGGACAACTTGTTATAGATAGGTTTTTGGACCAACATTTATTATATGTGTACATCTTTTATACGTGGAACTAACCAAACAGATACCTTGTAACAATTACCCATCTTCTCTGCTTTAATGTAGACGGATGGGAGAACAAAGAAGGAATGCTATAAACCATTTAGATAATAAATTCGCACCACTGCTGTTTCTACGATGCATTAGAGACAGTGGTGCTCTTTTAAGCACATCACCCATTGTTCCACTAGAATGCTGGCACTTTGTTAAGGACATACCAACTACAGATGCGGGCACTGAAGTTGGATTTTGCCCCATTTAACCAACACATTAGGCATGACTTAAACTTGAGGTGCTTTCTTGCCACTGTCTGGTATGTTTTCAAATAATTATAAATCCCCTTTGGAAGGAGAAAAGATCTTTTAAATTGATCACTGATGGAAGAATTACCAAAGCTCAGGAGGAATTTCCTGCAATTGTAAAAGACTGGCTACCAGACAATGGAACTGGCTCCAGTCCTCATTGAAGACAATAGAAAAACTCTCATTAACTTTGTGAGCAAGCCTACATTTTTTCAGGTCTTGTCTCCTCAGCATGAACACTAATGATCATTTGGTACATTTCATAAGAGATTGGCAGGGGTTGCCCAAGTATCCTCGGCTAACATTTCAACTCCCTTGCACTGTTGTGCAATGGGCTATTCGCATTTAAGTGCTACTGTTGCATACTGAGAATTTGTGAAGTTCTTTGGAATCTTCAACATCGTTACTGAGGTAAAACTTGCACTGAAGTTAAAGGGAGTAAATACTTATCTTTGACTTAGTATTAACAGGAAGGGAGATGGACATAGATATAGTCCTACCAATTACAATATTACAAGTTTTAGACTAGCAACTATTCCTGAATAATTATACAGAATGACTTAGACTGATTATAGTAATTTATATTTAATGATAAAAATTAGAATCTTAAAGGGAAAGGCTCACAAAAATGGAAACAACAGTTATTTAGGTAGTTCAGAACCTCAGAGTTTGGTTAAAATGACGAACAAAGATTCAGAAACAGAGAGCTTTTTCAGCCTGTGGTGGCTCAAGGAGAAAAGCTGGACATTTTGGCTCTGATCTGGAATAGATCCTTTGATACTACCACTACATGTACTAAATAACTACTGAGGCAAAATCTCCACAGAAGATGGAGGGGGAATACACAAGCAATGAACTACCAGAAGTCTGGAAGACAGAATTTACAAAACAGCATCCAATCATACCTGTTGTAAGTACTTGTTGCATAGTCTTTGTCTATTATCATGCCTTCTAAATAAAATCTCTATGCAAGCAGGGGGAAGCCAGGATCATGGATCTGGCTAGTGGAAGCAGGGAGAGATTGAGAAACATTTTCATGATATGTTCTATCATTTTACTCCAACCCTGAGGAAGCCTTTCTGTGGGGCACCCTGGCATCCAGATCTGTGGGCAGAGAACAGGTTTGGATTTTCCCCTCTCCCCAGACCTTCTGGGACAAAGTCTACAGCAACATGCATGGACAGTATGACACCCCACCACCAAAGCTAGGTGGCAGTTAAAGTCAGGGGAGCTGCTGACATCATGGCTCCATTAGGAGCCACTCCATCCAGGAGTTGCAGGGAATTAGTGGCAAGAAGGAGCTGGGCAGCACTGTGATTGTGAGAGGCCTTGGATGGATTCGCAAGACTATCATGGATCTTGTGGGTTCACAGGGCTAGGCAGTGGCACCTTGGCTTTTTCACAGGTGGAGAGGAAAGGGAAGGGACAGATTGCCCCACTTAATGGCAGAAATTATTTAGGCTGAAATTTGCAGTTTCCATTCTCCTATATAGGAGCAATCCATCTAGGGGAGATTGAGCCCCAAAGCAGCAAATTATATTTTTGTATTTATTTATATTTGCAAATGCTAGTCATCATTGTATTACCAATTGGGCTCATCAGTATAATAATTTGTACAGCTTAATAAAATGCTAAGGAACTACATAGTAATTAGGGCTGTCGATTAATCACAGTTAACTCACGCAATTAACTCAAAAATTAATTGCGATTAAAAAAATGAATCACGATTAATCGCACTGTTAAACAATAGAATACCAATTGAAATTTAGTAAATATTTTTGGATATTTTTCTTCATTTTCAAATATATCGATTTCAATTACAACACAGAATACAAAGTGTACAGTGCTCACTTTATATTATTTTTATTACAAATATTTGCATTGTAAAAATGATAAAAGAAATAGAATTTTTCAATTCACCTCATGCAAATACTGTAGTGCAATCTCTATCATGAAAGTGCAATTTACAAATGTAGGGTTTTTTGTTACGTAACTGCACTCAAACAAAACAATGTAAAACTTTAGCACCCACAAGTCCACCCAGTCCTACTTTTTGTTCAGCCAATCGCTAAGAGAAACAAGTTTGTTTATTTTTACAGGAGATAATGCTGCCCTTTTCTTGTTTACGTCACCTGAAATTGAGAACAGGCGTTCGCATGGCACTGTTGTAGCTGGCGTCGCAAGACATTCAAATGCCTCTTCATGCTTTGGCCATCGTCCAGAGGACATAATTCCATGCTGATGATGGTCGTTAAAAAAGAATATATTAATTAAATTAATGACTGAACTCCTTGTGGGAACAATTGTATGTCTCCTGCTCTGTTTTACCTGCATTCTACCATATATTTCATGTTATAGCAGTCTCAAATGATGAGCCAGCACATGTTGTTCATTTTAAGAACACTTTCACTGCAAATTTGACAAAATGCAAAGAAGATATCAATGTGACATTTCTAAAGATAGCTATAGCACTCGACCCAAAATTTAAGAATCTGAAGTGTCTTCCAAAATCTGAGAGGGATGTGGTGTGGAGCACGCTTTCAAAAGTCTTAAAAGAGCAACACTCTGATGCGGAAACTACAGAACCCAAACCACCAAATAAGAAAATCAACCTTTTGCTGGTGGTATCTGACTCATCTTCATTTTCATCATCTGTGTTGGTCCGCACTGCTTTGGATCGTTATCAAGCAGAACCCATCATCAGCATGGACGCATGGACTTTGGAATAGTGGTTGAAGCATCAAGGGACATATGAATCTTAGCACATCTGGCATGTAAATATCT